TGGAGTGCAATGGCAGGATCTTGGCTCACTGCAACCTCCGCCTCCCAGGTTCAAGAAATTCTCCTGCCTCAGCCTTCTGAGTAGCTGAGATTACAGGTGCCCACCACCATACCCGCTTAATTTTTGTATTTTTAGTAGAGACAGGGTTTCACCATGGTGGCCAGGCTGGTCTTGAATTTCTGACCTCAGGCGATCCACTTGCTTTGTCCTCCCAAAGTACTGAGATTACAGGTGTGAGCCACTGTGCCCAGCCAATTTACTAAATATTTTAAGCCCATTGTTTTGATCTACTTCTCAGAACAAAAGATTCCTTTCAGAATATTACTGCTAATGGACAATGTACCTGGTCACCCAAGAGCTCTGATGGACATGTGCAAGATTCATGTTGTTTTCATGCCTGCTAAACACAACATCCGTTCCACAGCCCAGGGATCAAGGAGTCATTGCTACTTTCAAGTCTTACTTTTTAAGAAGCACATTTTGTAAGCTACCATAGATCGTGATTCCTGTGATAGATCTGGACAAAGTAAATCAAAAACTTTTTGGAAAGGATCACCATTCTAGATGCCATTAAGAACATTTGTGATTCATGTTCATGGGAGGAGGTCAAGTTACAACATTAACAGGAATTTGGGAGATATTGATTCCAACCCTTATGGATAACTTTGAGGGGGCTATGACTTCAGTGGAGGAAGTAACTGCAGATATGATTTTAAAAGCAAAAGGCGGGGTACAGTGGCTCACACCCGTAATCCCAGCACTTTGGGAGATCAAGTTGGGTGGATCACTTCAGGTTAGGTGTTCAAGACTAGCCTGGCCAACATGGTGAAACCCCACCACTACTAAAAATACAAAAATTAGCTGGGCATGGTGGTGCATGCCTGTAGTCCCAGCTACCTGGAAGGCTGAGGCAGGACAATGACTTGAACCTGGGAGGCGGAGGTTGCAGTGAGCCAAGATAGTGCCATTCCACTCCAGCCTGGGCGACAGAGCAAGACTCCATCTCAAAAAAAAAAAAGAAAAGAAAATAGCAAGATAACTAGAATTAGATGCGGAGCCTGAAGATGTGACTGAATGGCTGCAATCTCCTGATAAACTTGAATGAAGAGTTGCTTTTTATGGACCAACAAAGAAAGTAGTATTTTGAGTTGGAATCTACCCCAGGTGAAGATGCTGTGAACATTGTTAAAAATGACAAGGAAGTACAGAATATTACATAAACTTAGTGGGTAAAGCAGTTGCAGGGTTTGAAAGGATTTACTCTAATTTTGAAAGTTCTACTCCAGCTAAAAGGCTATCAAATATCATCACATGGTTTGTCATATGTAAAGGGGAGAAGAATAAGGAAATAAAACAGCATTGGCATGCTACAAAGAAATCCTTCCTAAAAGTAAGCGTCAATTGATGCGGCAAACTTCATTGTTGTCTCTTTTAAGAAATTGCCACAGTCAGGCAAGGCACGGTGGCTCACGCCTGTAATCCCAGCACTTTGGGAGCCTGAGGTAGGATGATTGCTTGAGTCCAGGAATTTGAGACAAGCCTGAGCAACATAGTGAGATACCGTCTCTACTAAACACACAAAAATTAGACAGATGTAGTGGTGCGTGCCTATAGTCCCTGCTACTTGGGAGGTTGAGGCATGAGAATTGCTTGAATCTGGAAGGAAGACATTGCAGTGAGCCAAGATTCACACCACTGCACTCCAGCCTGGGTGACAGATTGACATGTCTCAAAAAAGCAAACAACAACTACAAAAATAACTTGCCACAGCTACTCCATCCTTCAGCGATCACCACCCTGATCAGTCAGCAACCATCAACACTGAGCCACACCCTCCACCAGCAAAAACACTATGACTCACAGAAAGCCCAGATAATTGTTAACATCTTTTAGCAATAAATTATTTCTGAATTAAGACATTATGTGTGCATTGCTTTTTTTTAGACATAATGCAATTGCACACTTACTAGACAACAGAATAGTATAAACATCATTTTTACATGCACTGAGAAACAAAAAAAAATGTGCATGATTTGCTTTGTTGTGATATTCACTTGATTATGATGGTTTGGAACTGAATCCACCATGACTCTTTGTTAGCCTGGATGTCACACCGTGTTTATCCAGTTGTCTGTCAGTAAACACTTGGGTTCACCTTTAGGCTATTGTGCATAAGGCTGCTCTGAACATGGGGCTACGAATATCTTCAGAGAGATTTTTTTGAAAGCTTCCCATGGGGTTTGAATATGCAGCTATGGTTAAGAGCGACTATAAAAGAAATTCCCTAGAGTTTGCGAGGGGCCCAGGGAAAGGGCACGCTACCATAGCTGGCCCAATCCAGCTACTCCATCCTAACCATATCATCATGTCAGGTAATCAGCAGTGTAGACATTTGTCTCCTTCAGTAGACTTGGACACCAGAAGGGCGGGGTAGGTTTGTTTACTACAAGAGCTCCCAGATCTAGTTCCAAGCCCAGCGCCCTGTAGGGACTGATTAAGTTGCTGCTGAACAAAGACTATGAATCCATAACTCCACCTTATCCTACTATTAAAACCAACTGTTCCCTTCTATTAGAAATTACTCATCATTGTACCCTAGGCCATGCTCTGGTCCTGTAGCCTGACTGGTACCTGGGCCTGAGCCTGCCTGAGATAGGGTCTAAGATCTTTATGAAATAAAATTATAATCAGGAAAGAAGACTTGGGTCCTGACAAAACAGATGGGACAATGGAGTTGTGAACCATAGTCGCTGTGGCCTGTTGCTCCAGCTTTTTCTGGGACAAATGCTCCCAAAAGGGGGGTGGGACCCATTCCTTGCATCTGGATGAGAGGTCTAATTTATCTTTCCCTAAATATCTGCTTACCCTCCCCACAACTCACTTTAAAAAGAAAAGGGTGTAGCTGTGTTTCTAGTGAGGTGGGTTTTGTGTGCTTTATTCATTTCTGTAGCTCCACACGCTCGTGCTTATTTTATTTTAATTTTAACCCGAGTTCTCAAGATCATTTAAAAAAAAACTTTAAGTTCTGGGATACATGTGCAGGACGTGGAAGTTTGTTACATAGGTATTGGTGTGCCATGCTGGTTTGCTGCACCTATTGAACCATCCTTTAAGTTCCCTCCCCTCACCCCTCACCTCCCAACAGGCCCTGGTGTGTTGTTTCCCCTCCTGTGTCCATGTGTTCTCATTGTTCAGCTCCCACTTATGAGTGAGAACATGCAGTATTTGGTTTTCTCTTCCTGTGTTAGTCTGCTGAGGATAATGGCTTCCAGCTTCATCCATGTCCCTGCAAAGGACATGATCTCATTCCTTATCATGGCTGCATAATATTCCATGATGTATGTGTACCACATTTTCTTTATCCAGTCTATCATTGCCAAGGTCATTTTTTATTAATGCCTACAGAAATTTAAAAGTAGCCCTAGATAAAAAAGAGATGCCAGATAACCTGAGAGTTCACCTTCATTTCATATTGAAGTCCATGAACATATTTGGAGAGAACCTCTTTGTAGCACGAAGCAGCAGTATAGCAAATTGAGAACGCCCTCCTCCCCCCCTCCTGTCCATCTCAGAAGCCACCAGTGTGGTGTGACATGGTATGGGGACAGCAAGCATGTGCCTTTGAAGGTAAAATTACAAGACTGGCCCTTCATTGCTCCTTTCATATTTCCAAGATCTGAGCACCCCCTTCACCCAAACAGCTCCCAGATCAGGGCCAGGCTGAGGTGAAGCAGGTGATGCAAGGGGCATGCAAATACAGGGTCAGATTTTGCCTTTACTTAAAATATGACTATTTAGCTCATCATGGGGGTTTTGTGGCAAGAATTTTGATGTGTTTAAAAAAATTGCATTTAAATTATTTATCTTGGTTCCTGAGATCTTTAGCACTCCTTAACTTGGAGACTTGCCTGCCTCTTCTGAGGCCTGGCCTTGAGTCAGTTGCTATCAGCACCTGCCTGTGCTTTTTAAGAGGAAAGTGTAATGTTGCTGTCTGACAGACCTTCCTGAAGCCATAAGGCCCCCTTCTCTGAGTTACTTTGGCCTCTGTTCATTTTGACAAATGATCTCCCCAATCTGTTCACTCTGCGGCTTCTGCCGCCTCCCTTCCACATTTCCCATAAAAAACCCCACACCAGGGACCAGAGAGAGAAGCAAGAAGTCCCATGTGGGGTGTAGGCCTTTCCCTGCAAGGTATTTTGCTAACTTAACTTTTGAGCTTCAGAGCTGAGATAAACACACAATGAGCAAGGGCCGATTTCTTTGTAAAGAAATCTTTCTTGCACCCATTACCATGATCAATATTGCCCCTATGTTCAACCACAACCAGCCTTATGCTCTGGAACTTCAAGACAACTGTGAACACACTGGGAAATTGAATTCTCAAGGAATTTTAACTGTGCTAATCACGGCAACCCTGGAAAATATTTCTAATATGACAAAAGGGTAGATGGACCTTTAAATGCAGATGGTACTCTGTGTTCCCACCATTGCCTCCGCCTAAAACAGTATGGAAGGAAGCGAAGCCATGATTCCAGGCTCTTCTGACCTGGGGGGACCTCTACCCTGCAAAGGCACTAGAGCCCCTGATTTCAGGCCCCTGTGTATGAGGACCTATGTGGGGAACTGCATCTATTCACCTGTGTCTGTGAGCCTGGGGGCTTTTCCTGTACTGCTTGCTGCATCATTAGTAAACCTATGTGAATGTAAATGATTGGAGTTTCCAATGCTGTTCTAGCCCATTTTTCAAAATCTTGAGGATTCAGTGTAGCTCAGCCTCATTTATATTATCTTAATGTTTCATTACTATTGTCATACATGCACCTAAACATAATTACTTACCGCATTGGCATGATGAGAAATATACATACGCAAACAACTTTATAAATAAGTAGTATGAGAAACATATTGACACAGTGACCATAGCACCATTCAAACCATCACAAGACCTGACCCCAAAGCCTTACCAGGACCGTATGCATCCCAGTGTAGAGCCTGCTGAGACACACCAAGGTGGAAAACACCACAGCCATCACCAGTCCCAACACAAACGGATACTGTGGGGGGTGGGGGGAGGAGGAAAAACAAGGAAATTAGAACACACTCAGACACAGACGATTTGTTGTCATAGGTGGAAATAGGATTCATTAATGCAAGAATTGCTAGTCCAAACCTTTCATTCCCCAGACCAGAATCTGATTATCTAAAAACATTTTTTAAATGGGGAGACAGAAGAAAGAGAAGGGGAAGATACTTAGGTCTACACAGTACTGGGGGGAATTTTCACATCATGTAAGCATGCACCTGAGACATCGTAGGACTTGGCTTTAAGACTCATGACCACAACTATGGTACTAATACTTTTTGTGAAATGAATAACTTTGATTTCTACCTATTTTAAAATTAGAACAATAAGAAACAATTTGACCAAGCAAGGTAGATAGCCAGGGCTATCATCTGAAAGTCCCAACAAGCAACTTCTCCTCCTCTGCAAGAGAGGCAGGAGCAATGGACCCAAACTAAGAATCAGTATATTTTCATTCAGATGTCAAAAGCACTTGTGCAGATGCGACTGACTCTCAACATTTGCTGCTGAGTAACACTAGTGGCTAGAGGGATCCGGCTAATGCTGAATTATATAAGGAACACACAGATACTCTGCTTATAAACTAGACATAGGCATATAGCCACCTGCTTCAAGCACTAGTGTCAGTGGTATTCCATAGTGAGAAGATCAAAGACAATAAAGTGCTGTCTATATTATGCAAAGCACTTTATACTAACTCCTTTAATCTTCACATAACCCTGTGAAGTAGGCTCTATTATTAGCCCCATTTTACAAATGAGGAAGCCCGTAGCCATGATAATAAATGACATTAGTAATAAACTTTATCACAAAGAAACGTTCCCATCAGTGCTCCAATTTGACCCTCACAGTAGAAGCTTGGGGCTCAGAGAGGTGCAATCATCTGCCCGAGGTCACACAGCTGAGAGTCAGAACTGGAGGTCATGCTTTCTGAGTCCAAGCCCAGTGCGCTCTTTCCCATGTAACACACGAGTACAATAACACCTGGCTGTCATGTCTGTTCTTAAGATTTATCATTAACTAAGTCTCTTTAATTTAAAGGTGTTAAGAATTAATGAGTTAATATATTTGGAAATTAGAGTGTGGGCAGTAGCCTCAACACACATTTTTAAATTTTTATTTCAATAGTTTTTGGGGTACTCAACACACATATATATAAATAAACCAATATTTAGAGCTGTTTCTGAGCAAACAAAGCTAGCGAAATACATTCACCATTAAAAATTAAATAGGAAAGAAATTAACAACATGACTCAGACCTTATGAAAACTGCTACGTCATGTAAGGTGATGAGAATTTTTTAAGGAGGACTGGGCGGTTCTGCAATGGATGTGTCCGTGGTGGTGGTGGTTGTTTTTCTGCTGCAAGCCTCCACTTACCGCTTTTCTCTTAAGGAATATTAGCATGTTCGCAGACTTTTCTAGGCACCAAGAGCAACCCAATGGGAGCTGGCACTTGGCCCATTACATCCTTCTAGGGCAGGTGACATTGGGTACAACATGGCTCAGCGTCTGCACTAAGTTAATTCAGACAGTGCTAGGAGCTCAGATACTGTTTGACTGTGGCAAGACATTAAAGTGACTTATGACAAAAGTTGATATCTAGTCAAATATATTCCTTATAAATGTCCCTTTCTTATAGAAGAGAGGTCTAAACCCAGGTGACCAGGTAGAGGGCTACAGCGGTAGAGGTGGGACCCCACACTAGTCCCAATCTTTCCGGCTACATGAGGCTTGACTTCCTGCTTCTGGATAACCTGGAATGTGGACCATCCCTGGGCTTCTGGGGTAAAGGGGCAGGGCAAAACAATACTGTCATTTAACTACAAGACTGCGAGATTGAACGGAATCAAAAACTTCCAGTGGGGCCGGGTGCAGTGGTTCATGCCTATAATCCCAGTGCTTTGGGAGGCCAGACAGGCAGATTGCTTGAGGCCAGGAGTTCAAGACCAGTCTGGGCAACATAGCGGGACCCCTTCACTACAAAAAATCAAAAAAAATATATTAGCTGGATGTAGTAGCTGTTGTCCCAGCTACTTGGGAAGCTGAGGTGGGAGGATCACTTGAGCCCAGAAGATCAAGACTGCAGTGAGCAGTGATGGTGTCACTGCACTCCAGCCCCAACAACAGAGACCTATCTCAGAAACAAACAAACAAATAAAACTTCCAATGGGTAAGAGATAACACTTATAAAATTAAACACAAGATTAAAGCCATAGGTCTCACAAAGGAGAAAAATAACTTCCATCGCTGTAATAATACAACTGTTTAAGTCTTACTATAATTGTCATGTAAGCAGATATTAAGTAACTTTCTTCTATTTTCAACATTTATTAATCCCCCACCATTTAGACCATTCTAGAAAACTTTGAGCCATCATTTCTAGTGGCTGAGCCGTAATCAGGGCAGAGACATCCTTGGAGACTAATTTGAGGCACAGACTCTTTGCTGCCTCAGGCCTTGGGGAGTCTGGCAGAGGGATTTGGTGGAATCATCTTAGCCCTGGAGGATCATTTACTAGGACATAAACTCTTCTTGCAAACAGAGGATGAGAGCACTAATTCAAGCACTGTCTCGTCAGGCAGCCCAGGGTGGTAATACATGCTGGTCTCCTGGGATGGTCCATATTATGCTATCTGCCCTGGTGTCATTATTAATGGTGCTGGTGTTCACACTCAGGCATAACCTGATCTGAATGCTAAATTACATGGTCACTTTATTTATGATGCAATTGTCATCAGCTTAATAGGTTTCAGTTTCTCTTAATTTTTATTTCATAAACCTTAAGGTCCCTCAAAGCAGCTTTAAGAGAAAATTCAGAAGCGCAGCCTCTATTGGCTGCCTCAGTAGACGGGTTGGAAAAAGAAATAGGCCACATTACCTGGTATCTGTCCATAGTAGAGATAAGGAGGGTGAAGGCGATGGCAGTGGACGCCATGGCGTGGGTGGACGGCATTCCATATTCAGCGATCACTCTCTTTTCCAGTTTCACAACTGGAGGGGAGGAGGGACGGGGCCACTTCAAGATATCCTTGGCCACTTGGCCAATATACATCACCAACTGCAAAACCAAAGGACCAAGGTAAGTTTAACAAAATAAGGAAAATAAATGCATTTCCAAGTGTCATGGATTTATTTTGGGGTTCTCAGGTTGTTGGTTGAAGTCTCCTTTCTCTCTGACCAGCTACTTGTTGGCAAAGTCTTATAGGATGTTTTAGTTGGTGAAAAGGGAACAGACTTTCTGGATTCCATAGGACTACTGAGCAACTAAGATATGACATTAATGCATATATTATTTATTTGAATCATATATTTAACAAACATTTATGTAGCTTATATATGTGCTGGGCACTGTTCTAGGAGCTTTGCAGATATTTACTCAATCCAGTAACAACTGAAGGATGCAGACCCATTTTACAGATGAGTAGAGCATTGCACACTCATCCACAGGCACAGAGTCAGCAAGTGGAAGAACTGGGATTAAAATCCAGAACAATCCTTGTAACAACATAAATGGAGCTGAAGGCCATAATACTAAGCAAATTAATTCAGGAACAGAAAACCAAATACCACACGTTCTCACTTATAACTAGGAGCTAAACATTGAGCACACAAGGATGTAAACGTGGGAACAACAGGCATTATGGACTACCAGAGGGGGAGGAAGTAGGTTGAAAAACTATTGTTTACTATGCTCACTACCTGGGTGCACTATACCTATGTGACAAACCTGCACATGTATCCCTCATATCTAAAATAAATATTGATTAAAAAAAAAAAGAATTGGATGTCCATATCCTCTAAAAGTGGATAGGGTTGTTAACAACAGACTTATTTATTTTGTCAAGGAGTGAATAGGATTATTAACAATAGACTAATTAATTTTGTCAAAGGAATTTACAGGACGACTTCATAATGTGATATTCAAGAGCAACATATTTACTTAGGTACCTGCCTTTGCAACTTAAAGTACTGTGTGAGAACTGGCTGTAACAGTCCCATCCAGGAGCTGCTTTAAAATGCATCATCTCAGGACCTTCCTTAGACCTACTAAATTAGAATCTCCATTTTCAAAAGACTGCCAGGTGATTCGTGTGCACAGGGGAATTTAAGAAGCACTGAGCTAGATAGTACTGTTGTATAAATCACTTTGTCAGGGGCTTTAATCATAAAACATATCTTACCAGGACTGTGTTGACCTTACCAGGGTTTTATTTAGCTAGTGATGGACGGCATTACCTTGCTTCGAACAAAACCAGCTGTGAGGAACTATTTCAAAATCGTTTTGAATAGTCAGCTGGATTGCTGTAGGAGTTCCCACATTCTAGTGTTGTCTTTTAACTCCTTTAGTTGCTGGTTAATTCCATGCATAATTCCAGCAAACCCAGTAAAACACCCCCCTCCCAGAAGGTGTTGCATGTTTTTGTGCTTCATTGCCACTTTTCTCAGGGCTGAAAACCAAGAAGCACTCCCTGTGCACAGCAGGCCAAATCCACAGGCTATAAAGCCTCAGTGACAATTACTCTGAATTCCATAGCTGCAATTTCGAATCGGACTTTGAAACTTAACTTCTTTACCATCCCCTTACCACCAGGAACCGCTCTTCTGGAAACCAGCTCACTCTTTTTATGTTTCTGCCTCCCTCCTGTGAACCTATAAAAACTGCATCTAACTGACCATTATCTGGGGAGTTGAAAAACTTGCAGGTATTATTGACTACTGAGAATTTCTCAGAAGCTGCTTGAAATGTACTTCTCAGTCCTACTTCTTCCTCACCCACCAACATATAAACTATTATAGGCATAACTACTAATCCTAGTTCCCTCAAAAATACTTAAAATCCTCACACCATAACATAGAGGATAAGGGTAAAAAGATACTTAAAATCCTCAGAAATGGAAACTTTAAAATCATAAAAATAATGATTGGGTGACTCTCCTTCAGATAAAGTTTAATTTCTTTGAGGTTCATGAGTTCCTTTGTCTTCATTTGTATTTCATCTTCTATGTTTGAAGGTTTTGTAGAATTAGGAAAATTATTCATTTTATTTAAAACTATTACTACAGCTCTATATTATTTCTCATTAATAATTTTCAAGTAACAATGACTGTGATCACAGCTCTCTTTAAACAAGAGAAAACAGTTAGAGCTACATTTCTCAAGTTGCAGAGGAAAAGTATCACTCTTACAAGTTTGTATCCTGTCTCTAACATTGTCATTTGTGACAATGATGCCATGATGGGTCAAGCCTTGTGTTAGGTCCCCATCCTTGAGTAGGGAAAATAGTAACACAATAAGAAGATTTCAGGGGATAATGTGAAAAGGCTTTGAAAAAAATCCACAGAATTCTATGGGGGTGTGTGCGTGTGTGTGTGTGTGTGTGTGTGTGTGTGTGTAGAGAGAGAGAGAAAGAGAGCAAGCGAGAGAGAGAGAGAGAAACTCTGGTTCAACCTGGATAGCCAGGGAACCTGAGGCTAGTTAAAGTGAAATAGGAAAGTTCCCTGACCCACCTCACAGGATGTGCGACAGGAGTGTGGCTTCTCTGAATGCAGCTGCTGCTCAAACCACTTAAGGTGGGGAGCATGCAGATGGGCAGGGGTAGGAGACAGAGCGAGAGCTTTTGGGGCTTTGGCCCCACATTAGGAGTCTAGGGGTATGTGTCTGCAACTCTCAAAGCCCCAGTGGGTGTGCTACAGTGCTCTTTTAGCCCTGTCATCACAGGCAGCTTAAGTGTTAACCAGCTTAGTGCCATCTTGGTACCCAGGTTCTTGTTCAGCATCCAGGGAGGATCAGGTCACACACATACTTGAAGGCTGGTGAATGCAGGGGTTTTATTGAGTGGTGGAGGTGGCTCTCAGTAGAAGGGATGGGGAGCTGGAAGAGGGATGGAGTGGGGAAATGATCTTCTCCTGGAGCCTGGTTATCCAGTGGCGAATCTCCTCTCTTACTGTTCCCAGCCGAACTCTGAGACATTATTTCTCTTCTCTCCTTCTCTGCTGTGCCATTCTGCTGCTCTTTTGCTCTTCTCTTTGTCTGCCTGTGGAGCCTGGGGTTTGGGGTTTATATGAGTACAGGATAAGGGGGGCATGAAAACAGGAATGCCTGTTCCTATTTAGGGCCGTGAGTTTCCAGGATGGAGGGCGGGGCCTGTGCCAGGGGACCACCTCTTCTACCCAGTATTTCCCTGTCTCTTGTCTGTATCAAAAGGAAGACGGTTTAACTAAAGGATGGGTAAAGAAGCATCCAGGTTGCAATAACAGCCCGAGCAAAGGCTTGGGGAAGTAATGCTGAATGGTACATAGTAGGAGCTACTAGGAGGTTAGGACCACTAGAGTTTAAACTGCAAGGCACACCACTACACATTCACTAGAAGGGTTAAGACTAACAAGACTGACCACATCAAGTGTCGGTGAGGATATGGAGCACATGAACCTCTCATATGCCTCTGTAGGAAACACAAATGGTACCACCACTTTGGAAAATAATTTGGTAGTTTCTTTAAAAGTCCACTTTATACTTATAAGTTTCTAAACATATACTTACATATGATCCAGCCATCCCACTCTTAGGTGTTTGCCCTTGAGAAACAAAAGCAATATGACCAAATACTCATATATGAATGTTTCTAACAGCTTTTTTTGGTAATAGTCCTGAATTGGAAACAACCCGATTACCATTAACAAGTAAGTACCTGTACACAAATTGTGGTATAATCACATAACTGAATACTACTCAGCAACAAAAAAGAATAAGCTAGTGACATATGCTTACATGGGTGAATCTCAAAATAATTATGCTGAATAAAGAAGCCAGGCCAAGACACATGACAAAGCAAACAGTACATACTACATGATTTGTTTCCATAAAATTTTTGAAAATGTAAACTACTTTATAGTGACAGAAAGTAGATAAGTGGTTGCTAGGGAGGGGAAAAGAAATTACAAATGGGCATAAGAAAACTTTAGGGGGTGATAAATATCATCTTGATTGTGGTAACAATTTCAGGGATAGGTACCTATGTTAAAATGTGTCAACTTGTTTATGTTTTTATTTTTGTTTTTTTGAGACAGAGTCTCACTCTGTCACCTGGGCTAGAGTGTAGTGGCACAATCTTGGCTCACAATCTTGGCCCAGCCTTCAATTTGTGTATTTTTTTTTTTTTTTTTTTT